CTTTTTTGTTTGTTTAATCTGTCTGGAAAACCCTACAGTCTATTTTTGATTGATTCGGAACTGCAAAGTCAATACTTAAAATACTCAAGGAGATCAACACTCTATGATTAGGCAAAAGAAACAAGTTTTTAAGAAATGGATTTAACTAAAAAAAGCAAGAGATCACTTAGTGTATTAACAGCAGGAGAAAGGTGTCACCAGCAAAGTGAGCAGTTCAGAGAAGCATAAAATCTGGGCCGGGAAATGGGAGTTGAAATGCAGATGAAAGAGTAGTTCATTTTTCAAGTAAACTAATACTGTTCTACTGAATCCAGCAAGTTTTCCGTGCTCTGACTATGTGGATGAAGTTAAAATCACAGCTTAAACTGAAACAGTGGTTTGACATTACTGAAAGAACATGTTGTATGCTTTCTTTGGCTTCTGTCTCTTCTTTCTCTTGTGATTCCTGGCCTCATGCTGCTCCTTCATTCATCCTTGCACAGGCTCTGCTGCTCATCTGTAGTATCCCACAGAGAGCTATACACCGATTTGTTGTTGGAAGGTTTCTCCATGGATTAACAGATTGAAATGCTTTAGCAGAAGGGCCCAGTGAACAGAACAGAGTTTTCTGTTGGTAAGCAGGAATAGATGGAGGAAACATGTTTGTAGGTAGCACACTGATGGAGCTGCTCAGCTGTTACTTGTAACTGCAATCCTAAATATACACGGGCAGAGCATGCAGCAGTCAAAGCCTGTAACTTCTGTCATGCTCTTTGCCGTCATCCATATATTCATTGTTTTCAGGAGTTATGCAAGCTGTAATAAAACTTAAAACATGACTGCTCTGGTTATGATTTTCCAAGCCTAAGTGCAGATTTGCTATATTTGTGTCGCTATAAATTCATCTTTCTCAAAAATGTTCAGAACAAGTTGTTCAAGCACTGAACTCTTATTAAAATAGACAGAATGTTCAGTGCCAAAGGATTTTTTGGATCTGACTTGGAGTAAGTATTCACTTCATATATATGTTTCTAAACTGTTATTTTTAATGTATGGAAGTTTGCAATGGAAATTCATTGAGAAAACTTTTATGAAATGCAATCTTACTTTGCTCTAATAGTGTTATTTGAAAAGCAAATTAGCTGTTAAAAATATTTTAAATATTGGATTTATAGCGTCCTTCTGCATCTGTGAAATCCATTGTAGTGTATGTAAAAGCATGCAGCTAGTCATTTGGCTTGACTGAACTTACTTGCTGATTCACTAAGCTCAGCTGATAAGGTATGGTGGTGGTACAAGCTCTTCGGAATACCTGGGTCCAACATAAAAGCACTGAGCATGCTATTCCTGTTTTATACTTACTGAGTTCTTACCTGTCTTACGAGAGGGAGTTAGAATAGCAACAGCAACAGTAGATTCTTAGGGCAAAACTTTGAATGAATGCTGAGATTCCCAATGACTTAGGCTTCCTTGTGCACTATCTTATTTTAAATCCCTAAAAATTGCTGAAATCCACCACTCATGTCATTTTTATCAGTTGCTGCAGTGACTTTTCTGCATCTGATTGTTTGCACTATAAATGTTTATTTGCTTTTTCCTATGAATCTGCCAGTTTCCAGTATTTTTGCTATTGAGTTTAGTGACAGGTCAGGGTACATAGCCCTAGGTAGCCGTTGTGCAAGTACTAGAAAACTCTGTCTCTGATCCTAAAACATTAGACAAACAATGTAAGCTGAAGGATGGAGATAATCAAATACAAGTTTTTGGATAAAGCCAGTAGTATAAAACATGTACTGGTAATTGGAGAATGAAAATACTCTGACAAAAAGAGAATGACAGCATCAGAGGTTTGTGGCCATCTCTGCTTTATAAAATGTAATGCAGATATAACATTACACTATAAGAAGGTAGGAAATTGTGTAATTCATAATGAGTCACAAGCAACTGATAAATTGAACATGAACAGCTAAGGCTAGAAAAATAGAGTTGATAACTAGATGTGTGACTGAAGTGACTACAGATATGTAACAGAAGATATGTAGATGGCTGAAATTGCTAGGTAGGAGAACAGAAGGAACATGGAAGTAAACATTAGTGATCTTTAAGTTTTGCCTAGGTTGGGTGCTATTCCAGCATAGGGAAGACAGTTTTGAGCATGGTTTAGGGAGATTTCACATTAAATTGAGATAAAGGACGTAGACCCAGAAAAAAAAAAAAGCAAGATGGAAATAAATGAAAATGGCAATCAAAAGAGATAAAACATCAGTGGTGGATGAGGTCAGTGAACGAGAAATGGTGGAAGAGAAGAGATGCAATTACTTGTAAAACAAGAAGCAATATTTCATGAAGTTATGGTTTGGCCAAATGTTACTTTTGTGAATTTTAGATGCAGTTGGGTTCAAATGAATAGGTTAAATTCAAGAAACATCAAATTATCTTCTGATATGAAGATGGCAGACTTCAAAGAGATTCGGTAACTTTGTGGAGAGCAACAGTACATAGGAAGGAAGGAATGATAGAAAGGCGTTCTGTTGCTAGCTCGTATGATTTGCTGCAATGCTTGTTTTCATTTTATGCAGAGTCTCAAGAAATTGAATGTGATTTCACACATTGCTTTTGCCCTTTTTAATGAAGATACGTGAATTGGAATGCATCTGAAGCTTTTCATTCTGTATGTAAAGACAACTGCACTGAAATAGACATGTTTAAGACAAATTCTAGTTTTAATTTGATTTCACTGAGTTCAGCGGATCAACAACATTGTCTCTGAAATTTGATGAAGATTTGCTGATGTAGAAATTTACTCTGCTATACTTACCCTCAGAAAGAGGCTGTTTGTTACAGGTGAGGCACTATGCACTAAACTATTTAATTTCTGATCTTTTTGAGCTAAGACTAACGAGGTTACAAAGGAATGACTTATGTCTGGTTCGCTGCAGTCTCTTGAAAATACCAGTATGCATTGCTAATTTTTTGTTTCATGCGTATCTGTCAATTAGTCTTCCAGTTCTGGAGAACCCAGATATCAAGCAGTTGGTGGTTTACAATTTTACTCTTGAAGAATAAGCTCTTTTATTTTAGATTGAAGCTTTTGGAAAGAATCTTAAGAAAACTTGCAATTGCTGTTTGCTTTGGGCAAATAATTACAAAAACTGTTCTCAACTATTGAAGCTTCTTGAGTGTACTGAAGGAGCTAGAGGTATTGACATTGCTTCAGGCACCTAGTTTACCTTTTAAAATGTTGATGTGAGTATTGTTTGCCTTGTCAGTGATGGGAGATTACTTCATATATTCAGGGTTTGTACTAGAGCTAACTATTGCAAAACGTGTGGATTTTTTGGTTAGACCTCTACTTTCGTATTTCCTTTGGATAAGTAGTGTCTCTGAACCTCTTCGTGTGAGGAAACAGTGCTGCAAGCATTAAAGGAGGTACACTGAGAGAACTAACTTTTATTGTGGAGTTCCATTGTTCTCAGCCTTTGGCCACAGTGAAACTAAAAGATTTAAATCAATTAATACCTTATTTGATTGTGCTGAAATTCTCTTTTCTTCTACAGTTATTGCAGACTCTCCCTAGTAGGGCCTAATCTGTTCTGGAAATATAGCTGTGACCACAGATAAGCCCTTTAAATAGCGGACCTTATCACAAGGAATAAATATTGTGTGAACCTCTCAGTTTCAAAATGCATGTTTATCAACATTTAAGCTGGTTCAGAATGATGTGCTGTTTCTCGAGTAAGATTTCATTTTTCACGAAAGAAACCTAGGCTGTAGATGTTTTTTTTTTTTCTAGCCTCTTGTAATTAAATATTTTAGTGCTCTGATTTGCTTGTTCTTCGTTATGTGCATGTTACGCTCTATGACAGTTCCTAAGTGTTGATATTGTTGCAGAATTTATAATCAATCATTAAATATTCTTAGTTTGTGTTCCTGTACATTCTTTTATTGTGAGTAAAAGGAAATTAAGACTTGTATGCTCAGTACTTTTCCCAGAAATGGATTTCTTGCACCATGCTCTAGAGGGAACCTGGTATCTGCTAGAAGCTGGTTTTAAGAAATCAAAAAAAAAAAAAAAAAAAAAAAAGTAATTACGACTGAGAAACCATTTGACAGTCATACTCCTGCTCAATAACATTTTGTTCTACTTTCAGTGTATAATTTTGTTTTTGCATTTCTCTTTGTTATAAATTGTGATTCTCTTAAAAGTCTTCTTCACTCTGTACCACCTTCAAATACTGCATCAGAGGAATGTTTTTCCTTTCAGTATCTCTTGGCTGAAGTAAAAAAATGTGGCTGTTCTGGTCTTCCTTTGCAACATGTTCTCCGGTCTCTTAATTATTTCTATTGTTTTTGAACTCCCTTGTAATTTGTCGGTATCTTTCTGGCATTGAGATAACCAGGAGTGAATGCAATATTGCAAACATGTAATTACCTCTTGTCTCATTATTCAGAGGTTATTTTTATTGCTGCATGTAGCAAATTCATGTCTAAATTGCTGTCCAGTGTACTTGTAGGCTTTTTGATTATTACTGCATCACAGATTTGTATCTGCTCTTTCAGATCTGTGTTTCTAGAATGCATATTGCCTGATTTTTGTTCCGTGCATTTCCATTCCCTAATTATTTTGTTTCATTTCACACACATTTCTAAACTCCTGAAAGCTGATATTTCTCTTGCTCTGGCAGGTTACTGATGTTGTTTTGCTTCTTGAGTTTGTTGCCTGTATAACTCTTGGAGAATAATTTTGTTTTATTATATATGCTGTTTTTCTGCAAATATTTAAAACTTCTGTGGCTGCCTTGAGGACTGGGTTTTGAGTTTATTCACTTTGTTTTTGTTAGCTTTCTTAGGTTTATAAAAAGGGACTATTTACTCCCTTTATTAAGTGGTCATCCATACAGAAGCAGCAGTTTCTATGCATGTATGCATTCATTCATATGTGTGTGTATATATGTATATGCCTACTCATGTATAATGCATTTAACTACTCTTCTATTTAAAACAATGCTGTTTGCCTGCAGGAGGATGAAGAAGAAACATATGAGCAAACTCTAGAATTCCGCAGAGGAGGTGATGGTCAGCCAAGGCGGTCCACACGACCTACTCAACAATTTTATCAACCCCCAAGAGCTAGAAACTGATTAATAAGAATTAAAAGGTAAATATATGCTAATGACATTTTATTTCTGGATTTTAATTTCATGAAAGGTAGATCTGAATTTTTGTATACTTAAGTGTTCTTCAATCTCTGAAGTTTGTGAGAGAACTTTCTACAACTTTGCTAGTAGTTGGTTTGTATAACAGCCCTTGGCACTGGGTGGTAGACCGCGAGTGTTCTTGAACAAATAAGTTACTGTAATTACCATTATACAAGCAAATACAGAACTTAATTACTAGAAAAACTTTTTTTCCTCATTAAAAGATAAAACAAAAAACTAACCAAATTAAATATGCTGTACTGCATTCATTTAACTTCTGGATTTTCTAATACCTTAATTCTCAAGAGTTCATTAACTCTGTTCTGAATAAATCATTGCAAAGATGCATATTATTTGGTTTATATCTTCAGTGTCTTTGTTGTTTGCATCTGATTTTTTAGGTACTAGCTGGTTTATTTTTTATAAGATTTTTTTTTTAGTTTCTTTCATTTCTCCATTCCTTCACTTCCAACTGGGTGCCTGCTGATCTCTGCAGCTTTTGATATTTCTGACATGCAATAATATGAGACTTTGCATTTTGATCACTATTCTCACCTAACTTTTTCATTTGAGGGATTACTGCCAATATAAGGAAAAAAAATATTCCTGATTCTTGTCAAGGTGATAATTATTCTGATTTTTGTACATATCCTTAAATTTTCTATTTTAATAAATGTATCAGTCATTATCAATACATGTGTCATGAGATAATTATAAAGTGTGCAGAAATTATTCAGGTGCATGCACTGAGCTGTGTTCTAAACTAGTTCTGTCAGCTCAGGGAGGTGTCAGTGTGATCAGCCTAATGAAATGTGCTCAGTGTAGAGAGCAGTCATTGTTTTTTGTCATTGTTTTTGTCTTCAGGTAATAATTTTTATGTTTTCAAATTGCACAGCATAGATCTGGAAAACAGTGTTTGGCTTAGCTCCGATTGGGAGAGAGGGAAAAACAGACATCCAGAGAGAATAATAGTAACTCCTCAAGAAGAGTGAATAAATGGTTGACAAGTAGGGAACAACTTCTATAAGGCACAGGTTGCTCTGTGTGGGTTTTCTTGCACCTTGCTTTGAAAATTCCAACAGAATCCTGATTAAAACTGACAGCAGATTAAGGATCAAAATCTACCAACTGTAAAAACAGCAACAACAAAAAAAGTTTTAGTCTTCCACTCCACTCAAATGCTATTGTTTTCTGTCAGACATCTCCAAATAAAGGGGTTTGATTCAGATGGTAAATACTGTCAGTTAAGTGAAAAACATTTGTTAACAAGTAGCAGCTGTCAGCAACTACTTATTTTGCTTTACAAAGTACATCTGTTACTGACAGTACTTCAAAATATATATATAAAAATTAATCCTAATTTAAAACACTCTTCCTCAGGTGATTAAATAAGGCATTTTATCTGTCTTCACCCAGGACAGTGTCCTTCAGCCTCTACTCAAGATACAGTTAGCACCAATGTGTCATCCCAAACTGAGCTTATTAGCCCAATGCAGTGTGCAATCACTGGCAGCTTAAACTTTGCTCAAGTTTTGACTAATATTGTAAGCCTTACTTTATTGGAATATTACGTGCTTCATCTTCTGCAAATATAAAGGAGTTGTATATACCTTAAATAGTCATCACTGTAAACAGCAGTTCATTGTGGAAAAAATACAATTTACTTCTTGATTGAAATTTCATTCCATCTGAATCAAAATACTAAATGCAGTTTTCCTAGGCTGAAGTAACTGAATTGTCTTCCATTTTAACTAAGTAAAAGCTATCTCTAAATGGGTATTCAGTTAGAATATTTGTGTATTTTATATTAAAATGATTTGACATATCTAGCTATTTTAATTATCTTCCATATCAGACAAAAGTTTGTATTTAGGAAATTTCCAGTATTAAGCTCAATTGCAATTCAACATGAAATAATATAACAGCTAGGGGATGTTAACACCAAAAAGAAGTTGACAACATGAAATTAAATACATTGGTCTTAGATTCTTGATGCTAGGATCACTCAGAAGAAGAAAATGGAGAGACAAGACATGCTTTCTGTTTAAGGGTTGGGTGGTGGCAGGGGAGGGAGTCTCTACTTAAGCTTAGTTAGCTCCTATACTAGTTCTAGTCAAGGCAAACCTTAATTTTACAAAGATCTGTAATGTGTTGTTTTTCCACCCCCACCTTCTGCCACAGTGCAGTAGTGAATATGTGAACAACTGAATATCCCATTACCTTCTCTTAGTGAGGCATTTGGGGGTATCGTTGAATAGCATCAAACAGTGGTAATTCTTCCTTAGTTTAAGAACGCATCAGTCTTTTTGGTAGTAAAAATATTGTAATGTTATATTTAAAAGCTTTTTCTGTGTGATACAGAGTAGCTTTCACCTGCTAGGTTTGATTCCTGAAGTTTATGTAGAGTCCAGTATAGGTGATGTCATTTGCCTTGTTAGATAAGTAAGGTGGTGTGAGGAAATGTTCATCCTGACACTGTGGTGATTATATTTATCAGATGTGTCTTACAGTTCCCCATAGTACATCTCATGCTGCTGTAGATTTTATACTAAGTTGAACTTAGAAATGTATTTATTACATGTGACCTAATGAGGTGGTTGAAGACAGCTGAACTAGAGAGAAACCAGTAATTAAAATCTATTAAACTTTACCAAAAGTAAGTGGAGGATGTAGTCAGTTCCTCTCTGATTGTAAGTGTAGGCAGAAAATCGAACATAGTCCTTTTCTAATTTGTTTTCAGCTTACCTAGACTTGTATGACGGTGTCATGATATGTGAAAGCTCAAGAATATTGAATGTCAGTTTCTGGAAGTGGATTTCTATGTGGTTTCTTCCTTTTTATTCCCAAGAGCTTCTGAGAACATGGTATCTATCTATATATATATATTATTTCAATTTTTCAGTAACCTGTTAGATGACATGATTTATCAGGGGAGGTTTTTAAGGAATTTAGTGAGAAATAATCTTACCAGAGCTTTCCACTGAAGGATGCTTTACCAGATCATTGACCTGCTGCTTGAGAGAAAAGGGTTTATATCCCTTGCACCTCTCTATCATGTAAAGTAACTTAAATGATTTTTCCTGAAAAGAGATGAAGAGCTCTTGTTGATGACTATATTATAAATCATTCGTTGCAAATTGTCATATTGCAATATTTAACATTTAAAAATGCCAAGGTGCCCTGTCTTCAAAACCAAATAAGGCTGTGCTAAAAACAAGGTCTGACGGCCGTGTTTGTATTGAGTATGATAGGGACATACCAAAGATGAACCATAAGGTTCATACAGTAGTTAATATCATCCTATACCCCAAAACTGTATACGTACCTGTACAGGGTTGCACCGCTTGACAGGAAGGGCTTATTACCACTGGTACAACAACGCAGAAATAAAACTTCACTGCTTCCTGGATTAGTTTTCAGCATACTTGTTTAGGTGAAGTTGCCATTGCAAATCTGGAATTAGTATTGACACATACTAAATTCCTGAGTTTGTTTTTTTTTTTTTAATTATTACTATTTTTAATATACTTTGTGTCCTTCTGAAAAGCTCACCGTGCTGTTCTGTACTTCAGGTATAAAGAAAAATTGCTGCAGACTTGCGGGAAGTCCTGACTTAGTGATTACTGTGAAGGCAGAGCAATAGAGTAATCATGTTAAGGTCAATACCTCACTGTAGATGCAATTGCCCTAGAAATGGTTTATTAATATCCAGCAGTGTGAGGTAGAGGACACTAACTCAGAATTTTGTCAGAGCACTGCATCAGAGACCCTTTGAACTCAGTCTAGGTTGTTTCAGGTCAAACTAGTCAAATACTAGTTTTAACAGGTCTGTAAGTTAAGATATTCCCTCTAGAGAATAAAGATACAAGAATTAGAGTCTAACAGCAATAAAAATATGTCCTGACTTTATATTTGCTGGGTAGAATGTCATGGTAGTATGAAAAAGAAGGGGAACAGTAATCAGAAATGTGTTTTTTGAAGGGTCAAGGCTTTTGGAGGAGCTTGAAAGAACCTAAGACTGCGAACCTATAAGTACTTGGTCATTATCTGTTTCTTGGTCTTCTTTTGTGCAGTGACAGGATTAATCTACACCTTTTCAAACTTACTATGAAATTTGTATGAAAGTCCTTACCAATGGAGAAATTGAATTTTTGTAAGTCATTGCCAGAAAGTGTTCTTCTCTTGTATTATAGCGATCATGTATGTATTGCATTGAAGTGCAATCTTCTGACTTATTCTTCTAAGTACGTATCTCTGTAAGTACAGAAAATCAGATGTACACTCTTTTGGAGGAGAAAAAAAGTAGTAGCAGTAAAGTGTATGTTGCACAAAGGGCAGCGTTTTTGTACTTATTGGTTGTGTTTTTTTTTTTCTTTCCCCTTTTCAGCAATCTTCTCCTGGTGAGGGGTAATTCACTGGCAGCTCCAACTTGCTGAAGACTTCTAAAAGAACTTCTGACTTTTTCCAGGCAACATGGTGGGACAAAGAAAGCTGGTGTGAGCAGAAAGAATTTGGACCTGATACCACAGGAGACTTTTTTAAAGTTCTTAGTTATGTGAAGCTGAATACTTTTTACATATGAAAGAAGCAGATTGTCATTGCTGCCATCAATAAAACCACAGTGCACTATTCTGTTCTTTGCCTTGTATTCTTTTTACTGAGCCTCCATTGTTAGTAAACATAATACTAGTGTATTATGTTTTTTATTCATTTTGAATTTATTTTGGTTCTAATCCTGTTTCTAGTAAAGTAGAAGTAAAATTCCTATTTCCTCAAAAGCAGACAGGAATTTAGATTTTGCCTTGAGTTTAGATTTTAGGCTAGCATTAGTGAAACGCTAACATTTTTCAGCTAATTATTGTACAGTGAAATTCTATATGTTTTGATTGTTTTCTATGTTTGTTTTTTTCAAATTTGCTAAAGGCCAAAATTAACAAGTTTGCCTTTTATGTTTTTTTGAGGTGTAACTACAAGTTTGAAAGAGAGAAACTCAATGCTCTCAAAAAACATTTTCTAAATAATTTTAGGCAAATATTTTCTTTTTAGGAATATTTATATTATGGGGATAGAAACAATTCTAGAAGGTACAGGAAAGTAGTTTAAACAAAAAATACTGAAAGATGCATATAAATATTTCATACATAAATATGTATATACATACACACGCAACCTGTTGAATAGTAGGTTCTGACTTTCCTGTAGCTTTAAACTGCTTTTATTGCTTCATATTACTATATTGTTCTCAATTATTGTTGATGCTTAAAGAAAAAACATGTCAAACTGTACTTTTCCTTCTAAGCTATATCTTTGGACCTTATGTGATTATGAAAAATAGTTGAAATTTAACTATTTCTTTAACTGAGAAGCACCACAAGATCTGTAAACCTTGCAAGTCCCTTTTCAGCTTTATTTGGATGGTTTAATTAAGATTGAAATGGCACATGTTTTGAGATAGACAAAAAAAAAGCCTGTCTTCTGTAAAGACAGAGTTTTACCTGGGACATGTGTTGGTGGTATAAATTGTACAATTAATTCTAGTGAATTTCCGAGTGCTCATACAAAACTCTGGACAGAACCTTATTTGTTTGGATAAAAAGAAGTTATGCGTTGATGATGTAATTGATTGTATTTGTAGTACATAATAATAATAATATGGATTGCTGTCTGAATGCAGTCAGATGTAGCAAGCACATGAATATTTGCAGAATAGTAAGGAAGCAAATGTTTTGCTGCCATAATGCAGCTTCTTGAGAATTGTAATGCAACTCATTAACAATTTCAAAGAAACTTGGAAGCTTAGAACATGAGCTGCACAATGTTGAATTCTTTGCTATCAGTTGACATAAAACAAATTTTATGAAGTTTGTTAGATTTAAACTAGAGACCATTTCCCAAACACTATGAATCATCCTGGTGAGTTCTGCACAATTGTACACTCAAATAAATAAATTGTAGATCTAATACATTGGATGTTGGATGCTTTACTTCCACAATTATTGCTAAGACCACTTAAAACAGCTATTCAAGTTTCATAAACTATGCAGTCATAGCACTGTTTTAGAAATCAGTTTTGATTTTTTTATAAATAGTATTTCATTAAATGAGAATGCTACAACCAGTATACCAAAGCAGTCTCTGAAATTAAAAATCACTTTGGTGTACTGATTTTTCTTTCCTCCTGTGAATTAAACCATAAAATCCAGAAAACTGCTGCCTGATTTGGTGAACTGTTTTAAAAAATAGAGAGAGAGAGAAAGAAATGCAGCATTCCTCTGTAATAGTTGTGGCATTCTGAAATTACCAAATGTGCATGCAGCTGTTTGTAGGCAAATGAAAAATATTTGAGAACATTGTTTGGAAAACAGTAAAGCCAACATTCATGTCATGGTCTTCAATGGTGCTGAGGAACTGGAAAACCAGAGCAGGCAAGCAGCTGGAGAGTCTCTTTGACAAGACATGTTGTCTTAGTGCATTTTATGATCCTTTGCTATTTTGGTTTCAGCTCAAATAAGTATGAAAGTTCTGCCTGTTCTATAGGTTCTGGAGATTCAGTGATTGAGTAGAGTAAAACTATTTGCCTCAACCTGTTCTGAAAAGCAAGAATTGATTGCAAACTCATTGATTCCTATATCTAGAAACAACAAGATAATAAACCTATCTAGTTTATCAATTATTCCTTAATTTGCGTAATGCATCAAAACCACAAATACAGTTCCAATCATAATGTAGTAAGGATTGCATACATGAAAGAACATTAATGTACCCAGCTTTTATGTTCAGAAGAAGTTAACATTACTAGATAGATCTTCAGAACATTGAAAGCAAGGTCCTGAACTTTGTGGGGCTGATCCGTGTTGCTAAATGAAGGCAGAGAAAGAGAACTGCATCCTGATACTCCACACTACTTGATGGCTTAATTTCCAATGCTATTTTGGGCCACTCTTGATTAGCTGTTTTCAAGACAAACCTGTCACAAATTTAACATTTTACAAGCAGAACATGAGGCAATCTGAGTTTCTTGACCAGTAGGACCCTCCTGGACTTCCTTTGCTAGAAATACAGTTTATGAGAATTTCTGTTTTGAATTTTAGGAATGCAATTCTAATGAAAGATTTTTCTTGTTATGGACTTGTATAGAAAATTTTTACCCGATGGAAATAATTAAAAAAAATAAAAAAGATTTCAATCGTTCTAAAAGTTATGTGCAAAGTTGGTAACAGTATAATTGAATAAAATTGTTTTACATTTTTTTCCCATTTATGTTATTGAGATACAAAATCATTTGGAAACAAAGAATGGAGAAGTTCTCTTTTTATCTTAAATGTTTTCAGAATCTTATAACAAAACCGGATTGAAGTTGTCATATTTTCATTCAAAATTCTGGGTTGGACTAACATCTTCTGACATTCATATATTTAATATTATTTATGTTAATATAGCTTTTATTTTCTCACTAACAGGTTCTTTCTTAGTAAGTCTGTTGTGGTTTAATTTGGCAGGCACCACAGCCATTCACTCACTCCTTCCAGTTGGGTGGGGGAGAGAATCAAGGGGGAAAAAAAAGATAAAGCTTATGGATTGCGATAAAGACACTTTAATAGGACAGAAAAGGAAGGAAAAATAATAAAAACAATGATACAAGACTACACAAAACAAGTAGATGCAGCTGACCAATGCCCAGTTGCAGTCCCCGTGGCCGCTTCCCCCCAGTTTCATTGCCCCACATGATGCCACATGGTGTGGGATATTATCACTCTGGCCAGTTTGGGCCAGCTGTCCTGGTCCTGTCCCTTCCCAGCTCCTTGTGCACCCCCAGCCTCCTTCCTTGCAGGGCAGCACCAGAAGCTGAAAAGTCCTTCGCTTGGTGTGAGCACTGCTCTGCAACAACAAAACATCAGTGTGTTATCAACATTACTCTCATCCTAAATCCAAAATGCAATGTCATACGAGCATCTAAGAAGAAAATTAACTCTGTCCCAGCTGAAAGCAGTATAAAGTCTTTGGAAACAACTGTACAAAGCACCTTTCCACTTTCCTAAGAAGTATTTCTGGAGTAGTCTCCGCAGAATCTCTGTAATGGCTTGAGCTTTATGCAATATGAAGTATTAACAACCGATATTTCCACTGGTTAGTAAAAAGGTAATATCACAGGAGATATTAATCTTATCCTTGAATTGCATTTGAGAGTAGATACAGAATGAGTAAAAGCTTCAGGAAAGAAAAAGATTTAGCTTGAGGTAAAGCTGGAGAGACATTTGCAAGAGAACTCCTCAGTAGCCAAACTAGCTTATGAAGGGTTGTTCTAACCCTAACCAGGTAGCTGAATGAATCTGGAAGCATAAGGTAAACAATTCCCTGCAGAAATATCTCTTGTACTTTTGTGCAAACACAGGAGCATATCATTTTTGGATAATTGCCTATAGATGCCTTCATGAAAGAGAATTGCAATTCAATTGTGTTTTTATCAGGTGACTTGATCCAGCTCCAACAAATTTTTATTAACTTTCTTGAGAACTGCATGAGCCTTAGGAATGACTAATTGCACAATTTGGCTAGTGCGGTTCAGTTTTCTACTTGTCATACAGCTATTGAGCTGTTCTCTTGCTTTTTGTTTCTGAAATGTCTTGGAGCAACTTATTGTAGGAGAGCAGCTAAACCAGGGAAGGTATTCCAAACATGTAAGAACTGACCCAGTCCTGACATTATATGTATATGGAAAGTTTGTGTATTACTGGTATCCTTCAAAGCAGTGGTAAAGGCTCATAATACCTTTCTATTTATTTTTTAATATATTCATTTTGTACCAGTTGCTTATATTGGCTCATTCTGGCTTTAAATTACAATCTTGTTTTCAGGTTTTGAGAATGATTCCAAATAATAAAATAAAGACAAATTACATCAATACTTCATTTTCCCGCAAGATTGAGAGACCATAAAAAAAAAGGCAGTTTCCATAGCAACATGTGGGCTGTTGATGGATATAATTGCATTCTGGATATTATGACAGTATAAATGCAACCAGAATCTAGTATTTATTGAAAATAAATCTTACCTGTTTTCAAATAACTAGGAACTGTGGGAAGGCAAACAAGTGGATACATAAGAGCAGCAGGGTGCTGTAGGTGGTCTACGAAAATTCTGCAGCTGTTTTTAAGGAAAATGTTTGCAATCTCTGACTTAATATTTTATGTAACTTGACCGTTCCTATTTTAAAATGGATACATAGGTAAGTACTGTGCAGACAATATGCAATTGGTTGGATTAAAACACGTTCAAACTTGAGATTTGGCATCGTACCCAGCTAAGTTCAGATATGTCATGCTGACATTACTCAGGAGCAAGAGATATAGCTAGGTTTCAGTGCACTGCAGCTGCAGAATTGATGCCAGAATTCAGCCTCCCTTTTCAGCAGAATACCTATTCTGCTCCCTTTTACTCACATACTTTAATGTTGAAATCATTTTCAAATGGAAAAATAATAAATTCTTACAGCTGCACATAAAGCACTGAAAACGTGATGGAAATTGAAGCAAGAATCTGATGCCTAATACATCTTTAGAAAGGAAGGAGAAGTTGCAAGAGTTGTGAAATGTGAAAATATGCACATATTTTATGTTCTCATGTTTGAGAACAACTAATCCTAGCACTTCATTCAGTCTCTGTTCCTCGTGAGGAACCTGGCTTTAGTTGCCTGTGACACTCTGGGTTTCTCACAGCACTTGGCAAGAAGACAGATAACAGCTGGAGCCCCTGGTGAAAGCTGATAGAGAGGTTAAGATGCTGAAGTTGGTTTACAAGTCCGTCCTAATTTAATGGGAGAGGCCATGCTCTATATTTAGGAACCACGGAATAAGCTGTCATATTGTGGTTAGTGGTTTTCAACAATGAACACTGTATCAGTAACATTTTGCAAATTACAATTGTGCATACCAGAACAAGGAGAAGGTGGGAAAAATGATGATAAGGTAACTTAATTTTGTTCATTAAAGTGTGACATATACAAAGCGCTTAAGTTCACAAAAAGTATTTTTTCTATTAGGGTAGAACACACAATATTATAGAAAGAATCTCAAAGTTAAGTTCCTTTGGATGTGTTATCCAGAATGGCATCGTTTGTTTGATTTTCTGGTCTGCAAATAACATGCTATTTTGTTGTGAATGATCAGAAGGCCTTTAATACTGTTTACCGCAGGTGTCGGTGAGACGCTGTTATTTTCCAGTAGGTCAAGAAAAGTAGCCTGATACAGACTATTTCTGTCCTTTCTTCTGATTTGTGCTTGGAAGTTATGGTAGTTATGTGTTGTTGTACTTCCTTGGTGCTAATGGAGGTCACTCTATTACCAGGCCACATAGCCTCATGTAGAGGAATTGTGTGTCATGTGCTGAAGCTCAAACAATTTGTATAACTGAATTTGTGTCCTCATCTGACCAAAACATTGATGTCTTAGCCCATTGTTTTTGTGCTGCCTGCTGTAGGAAAAGCATTTACGAGTGATGAGTAACATTTGTTTGTTACGTACAATTATGTTTTGTTAGGGCAACAAGTGCCCAAGGGATGATCTGTATTTCTCTCAAGAAAATGTGTCCGGGGTGTTTGTCTAGACAACACTGTTTGTTCAGTCGGACCATCTCTGACCTGCAGGCTGTAAACTCTTCACCATTGTGTTTCTCAGTCATTTTTTGTGATTTTTTTTTTCTAGCAACCTATGAAGTACAATTCAGAACCAGTGGAATACAGAATAATATTGATTCTTTTTTTGGTATGTTATCTTTTTTGTGTGGCATAAGTCTATTGTAAAATAGAGAAAAGTGTTTTATTTCAGGATTGCCTAGGCAGGAGTGTAGTTAGAGCTAGTTTGCATTTTAATATCACATATTTTAAGGCAATTACGACTTCCATCACATAGGCTGTAGACTTTTATCCAGATATTTCTTCAGCATAGTGAATGGGAGTCTCCTGAGTTCTCACATGTGAGAACTTTGTTAATTTTTTTTTGACATTGATTAACTTATCTCTTTGATAAAGTTCCTTGGCTCTTAAAACCACTTAGCTCTCTTATTCCCAATTACTCCTATTACCAGCTTATTCCAGAAGTTAATTCCTCAGAAGGCTACAAATCTTCTAATTACAGCCTAAACGTACTTCATTATACACATTTGTTCTTCTGTCACCATTGACCTTCAGTATAAACAGTTCCCATCTGACCCTGAGGTATTTGTAGGCGATTTTTAAGCTGTGCTGAATGAGGGCAGAGAAGATTGATATTCTGCAGATCCTTTTCAATAACCATTTGCTGGGTGGCAGAGGGCTATTGCAGGGGGGTTCTATGGCTGGTGGTCCTTCACGCTTATATTGTATGCAGTCATTTCTGTTCACTTGTAAATGCCTTCATTGATTTGATGAATTCATTGAACTTGT